TTTGTTTTGAATGCCTGAGAAGCAGCTTCCAACTTCTCCTTTTCCTTTTCCTGAAATATCACACAGTTTGTCGATGATAAGGAAAAGAAATGTTAACCCACTACATTTGTGAATAATAATAATAATCATATTGTTTACATTAGTGGCATTTACTTATTTGAAGAGTTTGATTCATACATTTTCAAGTTTCACATGTGAAAGCTCTCCTCTAATAGATTCCACAACAGCTCTTAATCGTGCAGCTTCGCCAGTCGAAGCTGCTTCAATCTCGCCAATTTTAGACTCTTTCTCTGCCAAAAGCACCTGCAAAATTATGTAACCATAATACTAGCTCAACCTATTACAGAAAACCTAGATATGACACATACAATGAAAAAGTCAAAGACACCCCCTTTTTTTCCTTTTATCCATTACAAAAAAAAAATTAATACTTTAGGAGGAATGTATTCAATCTCCAACTAGAATAAAATGCTGTGAAAATAACTCTTACCTGCAGGGAAGAAATTGTCTCAGTGGCCTTAGTTCTATCGGATAAAGCATCAGCTAGTTGTGCTTCCAAGCTCTCTATATTCTGATGAAGAGAGAAGCATCAGAGAAACCAAAGCACCATTCTTGCAAGGGCCAGAAAAAAGAGAAAGCTCTTTGCATCTTAACCATCATTGACACATTATACATCTGAATATCCAACTTACCTTCTGATGTTTAGCAGCTACTTCTGCCACTGAAGCTTGCCTTTTTTCATCTGCAAGTTGTAATAGTCCTTGCAAGTCTTCTAACATCTAAAACATAAGCATGTATAAGATGGACTCCATCAAAAATTTCAGCAGTAAAGTACACTAGGAAGACAAAGCAACACAACATAGATCCATCCATGGGAATCGATGCCATTGATAACTCTGTTTCAATTTCAGAGGTTCACACATAAAGTTACCAAGTATAATCACTTGATCAAATTGATGATACAATAAGTTCTCAGTTGTAAGAAGGTATTGTTTAATAGTCTCCCAAAAAGCAAACAAACATACATGAAATCTTTTGATATTGAAACACACGAGATATTGTTCAAAACCAAACACAATAAATTGTATGCACACAAAGCTATAGTACCTGTTCTTTCTCTAAAACTGTTTGTTGCAATGCTTCAATTGCATCTTCTTTAGGCTGCATTGAACGGCGCAATTCCTCAATATTGTCTCGGAGTCTAGATATAAATGGCATCAAAATTAGAAAAAAGTGATAAATAAAGAATAAAACTCTATTGGCACTGTCAACCGGTGTTAAGACAATGAGATTCTTGATAAAGGATAAGTGCATTTTTTAGGTTCAAATTCGTTGTTAGAATTATGTACTTCAACAATGATTATACTTATTGTTTGCACTTCGTAATTGCTGTCTCTCTGCATCCATCGCTTTCAATGCTTCATTTGCTTGTTGACGTGTGCGCTCGAGCTCTTGCTGCAGAGCTGACTGTTGGGATGATGCTTTCTCAATTGATTCATTAGCTTCACGAAGCTTGACCTCAATGTCATCTTTTTCCTGAAAATAACAATCTCCAAACAAAATCTTAGTTTCATGCAAACCTGAAGCCTCCTTCCATAATTTCTCTTGGTATACTTTTTTAACAAAATTAGGAAAGTTATGCAGTTAAATAAAATAATCAAGGGACAAAATTCACCTTCTGAACCTCTTGAATGCGCTGTTTCGCACGCTTGTGAAGCCGATTAAATTTGGAGTCAAGCTCGTTGTACTTCTCCTCACGCTCTTTTATTTCTTGATCCAACTTTTGTTGAGCTACAACATGATCAATGGTATATACTCAAAGGGTCAAAACAGACTAAGCAGAAATAAGAACGCATATTACACTAAAAACATATTGATCCTTCTCTGAGATGTTCTTAGAGAAAAGAAGTTCCCGCTTTACAAGGTTACATTGAACCAAGTTTACAAAATATAAATAAGATGCAATTTTTAATGATGAACTCCTCTGACCTTCAGCAAGCTTTCCAGAGAGTTTTTGAGCTTTGGCATCTGCTTCTGAGTAGACCTCTCGAAGATGCTTTAAAGCGTCTTCTGCTGCAGCTCGAGTTTGTTTTTCTACATTAAGTTCTCTGCTCAAAGATTCTATTTTCTCATGCAGTTCTTTTATGTCGGCCAGATACTCGGTTTCCTTTTCCATTGCATTAGTTTGCCCAGATGAACCATCGTTTTCTGATAGGAGATTTTTGAAGGTCTCCAGCTGAGACTTTAGGAATTCATTCTCAAATTTGAGTTCAGTAACTGTCTGTAAAAGCTTATCATGAGCATCATCCGAACTCAAATTGGCATCTAACACAGCGTTTTCCTTGGAAAGATCTCCATTTGTTTCAGACAACTGTGTTTCAGGCTTCAAAGAATCATCTTCCCGAGTTTCAGGCACTTGAATAACCTCCTCAGCTCCCTCCTCAGACATTATCACACACTATATAACAACAGCACCACAAACATCAGCTACAGCCTAAAGATTAAAAATGAAAAGCTAATTTTGAAGCTATTGACCATAGAGCAAGCGGATCAGGAAGCTAGTTAGCAGCAAACATTCTTTAACAGCTATTAGAAACTGAATGTACGATAGAGGACAAAGTCAACATTCAAGTAATGGTCTCAATTGCTCGTTCTTTGATCAAATGAATCTAAGATGAGAAAGTTCTCCAGAATCAAAATTTTCGTTTAACGCTCTTGTAAATCGTGCAAGAATAAACGATAAACGCCGAAGCAAACGACAATTATCTTAACAGATGTCGTTGAATTTGGTCAGCAAAACAATTTTCCAATGAAAATTCAAAAATAAATGCAAGCGTCAGATCTGAACCTTAGAAAGAAAGAAGTAGGAATTGTGTACCTTTGAATCTGTGGAATGAGAGAAGATGAGGATCGATTCGATTTGATTCAATTACCGATTTGAGATATAATTTTTTCAGTTTTGAGGGAAATCGGGAATGTATTGCCGAGCTCAATTCTAAGAAGTGCCAGCTTCGATCTAGATTTGAAATTCCAGACTTGAAAAATTAGGTTTTAGCTTTATTGGTTTCTAAAAATTGGTTAGACATTAAAATATTCGAATTTATCCATATTTATTTATCCCTATTTGAATAATCTATTAGAAAAATGATAAATTTTAGACGGTTTAATTTTTTAAGTAATTTGAGTTATTTAAGAGAATATTTTTATTTTTTATTTTTTAAAATTATTTTTAAATAGAAACAAAAATTGTCTTTAAAACTGAACAGTTTTTTGGAAAAAAAAAAGTTGTGAATGAAAGGGTACGATCGGAGTCTAGTGAAGTCAGTTTTAATTTGAGGAAAAGCATTTTAAAGCTTTGAAATGGAAAAACTAAGTTAAATAAAATATAATATTAATAAATCAAAAGGCAAGTAAAGTTGTTTTAGAAAGAGAATTTTGAGAGTATTTTAGCGTTTGACAAGTATTGGGCTCAATTTAGGTCAAGAATTGACTTGAATTGTTGAAATAATGGCTTAAATATAAAATAAGTGTCAAATTATAGTCTTTTTTTATGATTAAGTGTTTAAATTATTTTTTAATTATTTTGGTGTCTAATGTTATAAATGTTATAATTTTAGATATTCGGATCGTCAACAACATTAATTTCATCCGTTAAGTGATATATGTTACAATCTGATAATTTTTAAAAGATTATATAAAATTAAAAAGATAAAATTATATTTAAAAAACACACAAATTTCAAAATAATTTCAAAACTTTAAAAACCTTCGTCTTAACTATTAACCTCAAGTTGATTATTGTCATTTGCCATCGACGAATCTACTAAAATCCTGATGAAATTATGACCTAATAAGTGGGAGTAGATTTTTTGTAGTATGTCAATATCGTTTCTTTAATTAGACGATTTTTTTAATAAATTGTGAATATTTTAAAAAATAAAAATTACTATCGATTATTTCAAGTAAGGAATAATGAAACATTTATAAAATTATTTTTCACAAAAAGTCTTAAAAATTTATTTTAAAAAATAATTTTAATAGTCTAGGGGGTGTTTGGCAAACAATTGATAGTTGATAGCTGATTTAGTAGTTGGTTGACCAGCTGATTTAATTAATTGTTTATATAGAAGTATTTGATAAAATTTATCTGATAGCTTATACGGGTAAAATGACAAATAAGGGTATGATACATTTAGTTGTTAAGTATATCTATGTTTTTTTACACAAAAGTTTAGGTCAAGGGTGGCTCCCCCAATCCAGGGTCAGGGTATACATAAGACCTAATTGAGATTTACATAAGACTTTATAGATTACCCGTCAATAGTGACGGTGGTGGGATTTAAATTTGGTCTTATAAGTTCAAATTCTTGAATCCAACCACTTGTGCCAACGCTCATTGGATAAGTACATATATGTTTTATAATATTTTAGTCTTCATTGGGGTGAAATTATTTGGATAAATTGCTTTTACAATAAATTAAAAATTCCTTAAGAAAATTAGTGAATATTTTACAAAATTTTGAATATATTTTTTAAATTAATAAATGAAATAAAACAAATAACATTATTAATTAATAATCCAGAAAATGGGAGGAGAAAAACTCCAGGTGAGGAAAGCAGGTCGAAATTAGTTGTAGTCAAAGAAGTGTCCTACAACAACTCTGAGCCAAGCAAGTTGTATATCTCGTTTCACTTGTGCAAGCCTCTCTCTACAAACCCAATGTGTCTTCATCTTCATATTCCTCTTCACTCTTCTCTCTCTCTTTCTTTCAATGGGTGGCACTGCCTACCCAGTATTCATTTTAAATACATTTCTTCTTTCACAGCCATTTCAATGAGAGATCAATAATATCAAGGGGACGGACAAATCACCAAATAAAGTCACAAGTCACACTGTTGTGTTTTTTCTTTTTATGTTTTTGCTTGTGACTTGGGACCTTATTGTTTCTCCTTATATCATGCAGCGCAATCGCCTTGATTCAGAGTCCACGACCACCAATTTTGGGTTTGGCGGCGGCGGCGGCGGTAATGAGCAACGCCCCGTTTGCCCTAAACCTCGTCGCCTTGTCGGACCTGCTGCGGTTCCCGAGTTTCTCAAGCCCCTCAGATGTGGCAAACACAGGTTTGAATTGTTTTGTCATTGTTTTTTTTAACCTTTTTTCTCTTTTGATTTATCGGTTGATTCGTGACAAATCTTCAACGGCAGCCAATCGTATTCTGATGGGAGGTGTGGAGTTCTCAACATGATTGTGGCGAAGGTTAGTTGATAATACTTTATCGTATGTTTTAGATTTTTTTTTTATATTTTCGGTTGATAAAAATTTATAATTACGTTCTTAACATAAAATCACTTGGTTCGTCTATGTACTTAGACAAGCGAGGGAAGAGAATCCAGTTGCTGCAGCTGCTGGGCATCGTGTTCGTCGCCTCCGGGGAGAACAGGCAATCCCTTGGTTCACGACGTGCACTTCGTACATCAAATGGAGCTTCTCTCACCCTTTGGTCGACCCAAGTTTTCGGATAAACTGGGCATCACCTCTGCCTCCCCCGTTTGAGCATTATTCCAGCAGCCTTGAAAATGAGGGGTACATGTGCTCTTCTGTGGGATCCTTTCGTTAGACCTTTTGTTTTTGTTTTCTAATTTAATTGTAAATATCATGAGTTAAAAATGGACCGATTAGATGTCTCTTGTAAATAACATTTTCATCCATCGGTCCGTTGTTTCGATTTGTTTATTCTTTTCGTTTTGAATGATACATTTCATCTTCTTACAGAGGGTGGAGTGCCCCTTTTCTTATTATTTTGTATCATCGCTTTATCAAATTCAAAATTAAGAATCAAAGTATATATATATATATAGATAGATAGAGTTTACACAGTATTAAGAATTCAATTTTAGGTATCCATTATTACATATGTTGGATTATAATATGAACAAGTAGTGGCGGAATTTATTGATAAATAGGATAGGGTCAACTTATATTAAAAAATTAAGACGTTTAAATTAAAAAATTTAAATATTTTAAAGGATTTAATTTATATATTTTTCAAGAAAGAGTCTAATTTAAAGGAAATTTTCAAAAAAAGTTTATAATATGAACAAATTGTTTTTAATTGGGTTTAAATAGCATGTTTACACGGTATTTATATTTACGGGGATTTCACATTACAATTGAAAATTTTTGACCTAATGAAACATTAATGAGAATCAAACAACCAAACAATTTCTAAAATTATTGTTTTAATTAAATGAACCTTTTTAATATTTATTCTTTTAATTCCAAAACAAATTTTGAAAAGATATGCTATGTTTGAGGAAAATATTTCACATTTGGATTAAAATATCCACAAGCCCACAAAGAGCCTCACCGATTCGGACATTAACGTTACTCATATCATGCACGTCTGCACATGTATGAACCAACAATTGATTCCACATTTTTTCTCAATAACATTTGGATCAATTTCTCATTTAAAGCTAAAAATTATCGAATTATTCCTACAAAGTGATCTCCATGCTTAAAAAGAATATTATTTAAAAAAAAATGAGTTTGAGTAATTATAGTCATTCGAGATTTAGAGTTTTTTTTTCTTCAAAATTTGAATGCTTAATTCGAACCCAAAATTTAATCTTATATAATTATATTTTAGATAAATTGTTTAGATAATATCTCAACTATAAATTTTTTTATTGAATTCATCAGTTAGGAAAAATTACAAAATAATTGTTCAATAAAAAGATAATACGTACATTGATATTTTCTGGCAAAACTTTCGAGATAATGTTCTCGAATAAATTAATTCACGAGATAATGCACTCCCCAGATTAATTGCTCAAATAGGGTGAAATCCACAACGTTGGCCGTAGGTCGTCATGCCATCCGGGCGACCTATTAGGTCGTCATTTCTTCCCGACGAGCTACGAGAGATTTTGCATATGCCATGCACGTCCCAAGTTGGGATGGCAAACGGGCGGGTCGGGTGCGGATACCCCCTCCCCCATCCCCATACCTACCTAATATTTTTCAAACCACTACCCGCCCACCACCCATGATGGGTACAAATTTTCAAATCCACACCCGCCCACGCGGGTACATTCTCAAATCCATCCCCACACCCACTACCCACTAGCGACGTACCCGTCTAGACCCGCCTGACAGCAAACTTAAGTTATACATAAACAACAAACATAAAAAAACATGTCCATTAAGAAACATAATAAAATAATCCAAGGATTATCTAAGTTAAGTGTTAATATAGATCTTAAAATACATAAAACACCATAATAAATGACATAATTAAAGTCTAGAAACATAAATGACAAACACATAATGTTTTTGTTCTTTGGCACAACATTAAAAAATTTCAGGCAATATTTATGACATATAATACTCCAGTTTTACAATCATCATTCTCTATTTCCTCCAACTGAGAGCGCTCCAATTTAAATTCACTACTACCTACATATATAATAGAAAGTAAAACTAATATAAGTTAGTAACTAAACTTTAATAAGATAATTAAGCACAATTTGACAACTAATATAAACTAAATAATAATATTACCTTTAATATCGGCCCAAAGCCAATTTTGAGCATACATTAATGTTTCAATCGTCTCCGGAAGTAGTCGACTAAGATAAGGACCAATTACTCTTCCACCTATACTGAATGCAGATTTTGATGGGATAGTGGAGACAGGAATGCCCAAAATATCCTTTGCTATTTGTTGGAGAGTTGGATAAATTACATGTTATATCTTATACAATATTAGAATTTATAAATTAGTCTCTAAAATTACACCTAAATTCATAATGGTCCAAAAATTAATGGATATTTAGCTGGGCGGGCGGATGTGGGGCGGGCGGATGCGGGGCGGGTAATGTCTCAAACCCATTACCTGCCCACCACCCGCGACGGGTACCACTTTCTAAATCCACACCCGCCCACTACCTGCTAAAATTATACTCATCCCCGCCCCAATTGGAGCAAATGCGGTGCGGAACCCACGAAACTGTACCCGTTTGCCATCCCTAGTCCCAACACGCTGGGCATCTGAGGGCATCCGAGGCCATCCGAGTGAGCTATGCGAGAGCATCCAATGCCATCCGACCGTACCTAAATCGGTAACTAAGCTTTCATGCGATTACCTAAATTTCCTTAAGTAACAAATATTACTTTAGGGTTTCGGTAAAAGCCTAATTACTGATATAGGTAATGCATCAATTAATTGTTGTTAGGGTGAATAAAAAAATTCGACTAACTCATACTCAAAAAAATTCGACTTGAATTTACTTCGAGTTGTAATTTTATAAACTTGACTTGAAAAAGTTTAAAGTTCAAATTGAGTTATAAAATACAACTCAAATAACTCACAATTTTTAGAAATTAATGAAATAATTTTTAAGTTTGAGTCGAGTCCCTCGACTCTGTATGACATATGTATATCACATATGAAAAAAACAAAGAAATATATATATGTATTGTATATGGTTATAAAAACCATTTAAATTAAAATCAAATAGTATCATAATATTATAAATATTTACAATTAAATTTAAACAGAAACTAAAAAATTTGACTTGACTCGAAATTTTTTTAAATCAAATTTGAATTATAAAATAAGATTCATCAATTCAGATAACTCAAATTTTTTTACTCGACTCGATCGAATGTTCACCATATTTTAAGTAGGCTATTCCATTAAATAGAGCTTTTGTTTTACGCATGGGGAAGTGAAGTTGAGTGGTGACATAATTGTGAATATTTTTAAATGGTAGGTGGACTTGCCTCATAAGCATTCATTTTCTTATTTAACATATTATTTAACATAGGGATCGGCGTTTTTAGATTGTAGTGCTGCTGCGGAAGGATTTCAAAGCTTTGATGGCCGTAGCTCTCAGTATGTATTGATGATATGAAGCTGCCGCAATCGCTCCGATGAAAGGGCCGACCCAAAATATCCACTGTTTTTTCATCACCAACACAATGTTAATAATATTCAATCCATATGTACATGGTGAAAAAAATGAAATTAACTTGTAGTAATAAATTGACCTGATCATCCCAGGCTTTTTCGCCGTTGTAGATCACGGCAGCACCGAGGCTCCTAGCCGGGTTTATTCCGGTGCCGGTGATGGGAATGGTGGCCAGGTGCACCACGAACACAGCAAATCCGATTGGCAAGGGAGCTAACACCTGATCAAAGACACGCACATGAAAGTTTAGTTACGTTAAGAGTAGTTGTTGATGTTTTGTGCTACTATATTACTCACAGGGACGTGAGAATCACGTGCACTTCTTATGGGATCGGTGGCGGAGAAGACGGTGTAGACGAGGACAAAAGTTCCAATGATCTCGGCTCCCAAAGCGGTGGCGTTCGAGTATCCCGGAGCCACAGTGTTGGCACCGCTACCATACGTATTGAATGCGTGCCTCATGAATGGCTTGGCTAAACCTGCGCCACAAATAGCTCCCAGGCACTGTGCAACCATGTACGCCACCGCTCGAACCAATGAAACCTTCCGGGCTACGAACAACCCGAACGTGACGGCCGGATTAATGTGACCACCTGTTTAGGAAGTTCGCAATTAAACTTTTTTAATCATATAAAAGAAAAAAATGGCGATTGGCGAAATAGAGTACCGGAGATGCCGGCGGTGCAGTAGACGAGAACGAAGATCATGCCACCGACAGCCCAAGCGATACCGAGAAGACCAACACCGTTGCAAGGGGCGGTTTGTTGGCTGTGACCGATAACGGTGGCAACTAAGATGTAAAGGAACAGAAGGGTGGCGACGAACTCGGCCACGAGAGCTCTGTAAAAGGACCAGCTCTTGAGCTCTTCCATGTCCAACAACCGTGCCGCCGGCAGGTCTACATAATCCTTCCCACTGTTCTCCATGCTCGCTAGCTAACTTCCTACAAAGCTGATGATGTGCTTGATTGCCTTGCTCTTGCAATTAAGGCCAGGCACTGGTACTTTCTTTCGGAATAAATAAGCCCTTTGACAATAATGTTAGAGAGCAATTGGAGCAATTGCAGCCACGTAAGAAAAATTAAAATTTAGAGCATAAAAATATAAAATTTTAAAGTTAAAAATTAAATTATCGGTAAAAATATTATATTATATAAAAAATTAATTTTTTTTATAAAAAAAATACCATTGTAACTATCAATTCATCATTGTTTTGAAATTCGGACCGGACCGGCCGGTTCAACCGGAAACCGTTGCATGATCCGGTCCATTATACCCAGATTGAACTAGTTTTAGTAAAACACAACGAACCGTTCGAATCGGCTTTGAACCGGTCGAACCGGACCGGACCGTGAACCTATTCAACCTAATTTTTTTATTTAATTTTTATTTAATTCTTTAAATAATTATAACGTCGTCCGGTTCTTACAATCAGTCTGACTAATTTGACCGGTTAAACCAATAAATCGATAACACGATCGGTTCGGTAACCGATCTAGTTCTGAAAACCATGAAAACCATGCCATTCATATACGGCTAGCATGTGACCCAACAATTAATGTCACAATAGTTTATTTTGTTG